GTCTCGCTGCCCAGGCGGGTCTCAAACCCGCGGGCTCAGGCCATCCACTCACCTCAGCCTTCCAAAGGCGCGGGATGACAGGCTGAGCCACCGAGTCCGGCTAGGCCAACGTTCTAAGCTTCTGTGGGACTCAGTGGGATCCAGCCTCGGAAGTTAGGCTGCAGGGATAGCCAGGTTTGGAGATCATAGGAGGCCCTCATTGAGCGCCAGACTCACTGTGCCTTGCCCGCCCTGGGTCTGTCTCCTAAGCAGTATCCCCTCTAGCCAGGGCTTGCACACTTCCGAGGATGGGGAGCTCACTGCCTTTCATAGTATCCCATCTTGACTGAGACAGTCTGGGGGGCGCTGTCCTCACACAGGTGCCACCTGCCTCTCTGCCACTTCCGCTCATGGGTTTTTATTCCTCTTTGGGGCACAGAGCACAGCTGTGCTCCCCACTGCCAGCAGCTCTCAGAGCCGGCCTGCTGTCTCTCATCCCTGGGCAGCTGGGTCCATGAGGCAGGAACCTAGTCTCATGGTGACCCGTGGTGGCCCACTGGCTCCCACACCCAGTGGCCCTGAGGACAGGCCCAGGGCTATTTCGGGGTTTCCCCCGATCCTCCCCCTTCTACAGTCTAGAAACTGCCAAGGCCCTAAATATAGAGGCCCCGAAAGTAGCCAGACGGGGCCAGTGGCAACTGGCTTGGGGCAGGAGAAGTGACAGAGGGGCCTTCCTGGGCCTCTGTAGGGCAGAAGGTACCGGGCAGGACGCTGGTTCCAGCAGGTCACTAGGGATCATGGGTGGGCCCAGCCCTCAAGCCTGGTCTCAGCCTGCGCTTGACACTGTTCCCTGCCCATCCCTCTGATCCAGACACCTAGCTCGCCATTGTCCTTGAGCACCCAGGCTCTGTTCCGGAGTGGTCTTTGCCCACTGCGGCGACCCTGCCTGCCAGGACGCCCAGACCTCACCCTCCATTCATGCACTCATCCGTCCACTGGGAACTGGGCCACGGGCAGGGCTGGCCCTCGTGGCTGAACAGGAAGGCCCCTGCCCTGAGGGGCCCTGTGGTGGGGGACAGGCCCAAGAGGTCACCTGTTCCTCGCCAGCACTGACCTCTCCCTGTCTCCCCCGAGTGCCGGTACAATTACAAGCACGCCTCCTGGGTCCGCAGCCCAGCTCCGCACCTGGGGTGCACAGAGGCCTGATGGCTTGAGGCCTGGTGGGTGGATAACTGGTGGGATGAGCCAGGGTGTTCACAGAGAGCTTCCTGGAGGAGGGCGTTCTTGAATGACGGTTGGGGGTGGTTACAGGTAGAGGAGCAGAGTCTCAGGCATCTCGTCTCTCATATCATCACGGGGACCCAGGATGGCTGCCCTGTGAGCTGGGATGACAATTTCCACTTTCCAGATGGGAAAACTGAGTCTGAGCAGACATTCTTTGTCTGCATTGGGAGAGCTTTTGGAGATGTTTGCCCTGAGTGGCTTTCTCTGCCCTGCCGGAAGGCAACCATCCGAGAAGGGAAGCAGAACTTGGAATTCCCCAGCCTTCAGCGTATAAATACACTTCCTTTTTATGGACGCCCGCTGGAGGAAGAGTTCGAGACAGTCCTCGCCGCCCCCCGTTTTGCCCGGCACTAGCCCTCGGCCTGGCTGGGGAGCCCTGCCAACCCCGGGAGCCCCAGCGGTTTCCGGTGGTTTACTCTCCCCATTCCTCCTTCCCAGGTGGCTGGGAGTTCCCAGGGGTAGGCTGCTGTATTTGTTCATTCATTCACTCATTCACTCATTAGTCTGCTTATTCAGTAAACTCTCCCGGGACCCCTGGCGGAGTGGCCCCACTTCGGGTGGTTCCTGGGCAGTGAGGGGGCAGCCGATGACAGACCGTCGCTAGCCAAACTGGGATGAAGGAGGCGGGCCGCGTGAGCCCAGGGGGCCCTTCCTGTCTCCAGGGCAGAAGGCGCTCCTTTTCTTTTGAGTCGGAGTCTCACTCCCTCGCCCAGACCGGAGTGCACTGGCCGCTCCCGGCCCCCGCCGCCTCGACCCGCCGGGCTCCGGCGATCCTTCCGCCTCAGCCTTCCGGGTAGCCGGAATGACAGGTGCGCGCGACCACGCCCGGCTGACTTTTTGATTTGTTGTAGAGATGAGGTCTCGCTGCCCAGGCGGGTCTCGAACCCGCGGGCTCAGGCCGTCCACTCACCTCGGCCTCCCAAAGGCGCGGGATGACAGGCTGAGCCACCGCGCCTGGCAGAAAGGGTTCTTACAGGAGGGGGCGAGTGCAGTCCAGGCAAAAGAGACGAGGGGGACAGCCGGGGACAGCCGGAGCGAAGGCTCAGGGGGAGAGCCAGGGGCTAGACTTTGGGGTGCAGAGTGTGGGTGCTGGGACTCTGCCTGGGGTGAGGCGGGGATGGGTGAGAGCGGGCCGGGAGGAGGACCGTCCTGTCCCCAGCCTGGAGGAGCAAGATGTTCCCTGGCACCCCCACCCCTCCCTCTAGCCTCCTCCTGGTCTCTCCCTCCTTCTCTTCCCCTGCCTACCCCCCTTGCCCTCCGCCCCTGCACACGGAAAGGGAGCTTCAGTGCGGGTTCCTGCCTTTGCCTCACCACCCCTGCCAGGCTGAGGATGGGGACATGCGCTTTGGCCTGAAGTGCCCTCGGGCTCCAGCCCGGACGGTGCCTCAGCCTTTGCGCGCCCCCCGACGCCCTCCACACCCCCGAAAGGGCGGGGCTCTGCCGGGGACCCCGCCCTCGGCCCCGCCCCTGCCGGCCTCCCCGCCAGCCCCTCCCCGTCTGTCTTGCAGCACCGGCAGCAGCGACCCCTACTGCATCGTGAAGGTGGACAATGAGCCCATCATCAGGTACCGCCCGCGCCCCAGGACCGAGGGCGGGCTGAGCCCCTCGCCCTCGCCCAGCCCGCGCTCTGCATCCAGCCGGATACGGATTCTGTACAGAGATGGGTGGGGGTTCGGCGCACGCGATCCCCTGGGACGTCCACCAGGCCCTGACGCCCGTGGGGCGGTGAGAAAGCCCTCCTCTGGAACAGGTCTGGCCCCACACTCGTCGAGGGCCCGTCACGTGCCTCCGTTCACCTTTTTTTTTTTTGAGTTGGAGTCTCACTCTGCCGCCCAGACGGGAGGGCAGTGGCCGCTCCCGGCCACCGCAGCCTCGACCTGCCGGGCTCCGGCGACCCTTCCGCCTCAGCCTTCGGAGTAGCCGGAACTACAGGCGCGCGCTACGACGCCCGGCTGATTTTTTGATTGATTGTAGAGATGAGGTCTCGCTGCCCAGGCGGGTCTCGAACCCGCGGGCTCAGGCCATCCACTCGCCTCAGCCTCCCAAAGGCACGGGATTACAGGCTGAGCCACCGAGCCCGGCTCCATTTCATTCTTACAGTGAGCTAGATACTATATAATTAAGATCCCATTTGCAGGTGGGGAAACTGAGGCTCAGGGAGATTTAGTTGCTTGCCCAAGGTCTAAAGCTCCAGTCTGGCAGCCCTACAGCCTGAGCCCCTTCTCCCCTCCCAACCGGGGCCCCTCTGCCTGAGAGTCCACGTGATCAGCCCTCCCCTGCCCCAGTAAAGACTGCTCCTCTAGGCGGAGTGTCCAGCCTGCTCCCTGACGAGCCCCTCTCCCTGAGTGCTCCTTCCTCCGTGGTCTCCATGTATTCTGGGCGGGGTCTTTGCTGTCCTGGGGCCTCCCTCACCCGGGCCCCTGCCTCCAAGTTCACGGCCAGAGCCCAGCTGAGTGTCCATTGCCCACCCTAGCCAAGGCCGCCATCCTCCCAGGCCTCTCCCACTGTGAGCAGGGCCCAGGCTTTTCTCGAGTGTCTCCACACCATGGACACCCAAGGGGGAGCGTGTGATGGCGCCGATGGCTTTAACAGACAGGGCAGCTGAGGGCCCTGAGTTCAGATAGGATCTGCCCGAGAAGTGGTTGGTGTGAAGGCGGTCCCTGAGCCTTCGTCTGGGTTCCTGGGGGCTTCAGCTTCTCCCCACCCATTGCCCGGCTGAGCCCCCTGAGGTGGAAGGTTCTGATCCTCTGAGCTTTGGCCAGAGCTGGGTGAAGCTGGGAGGCCAGGCTTGTGGTCCCCTCTCTGCAGCTCTCTCGAGACAGCCGTCCTGTGACCTGAGGCCAGCTCCTGCCAACTGTGGTCTCGGTTTCCCCAAATGTGAAACAGCCGGTTAGAGGCAGTCCTGTGCCCTATCCAGAGCAGAGAGGAAGTGTGGGGGGTCATGACTGGTAGTGGGTGGTGAGGTCTGGGACAGGGAAAAATCATCCAGCGGCAAAGCCTCTTGTCCCTGGGGGTGGCAGGAGATGCCAGGAAGGTGGGCGCCAGTCACACAGCCCCGCCTCGGCCACCCAGGGCCTGGCGGTGGCCTGGGCAGGCGCTGAGGGGCCTCTCCCGTAGGACAGCCACCGTGTGGAAGACGCTGTGCCCCTTCTGGGGTGAGGAGTATCAAGTGCACTTGCCGCCCACCTTCCACACCGTGGCCTTCTACGTCATGGACGAGGACGCCCTCAGGTGAGCGCACCCACGCCTCAGCGGCGGCACAGACCCAGCTGTCTGTCTGCTCCCAGCACAGTTCACTGCTGGGACTGCTGGTCCCTTTGCACCCTCTTTGCACCCCGGAGGGAGGCCGAGCCCGAGAGCCGGGAGGGGGCGGGCTGGAGCGTGTGGGATTCGTGGGGCGTGGCTGCAGCTCACCTGTGCATGTGTGGAATACAGGCAGGTGTGTGTGGGAGTGCGACTGTGAAACTGGGCGCCCAGAGAGCGTGAGCCTGGCACATGTGGACACACATGTTGGTCCATGTGGAGAAACATACCACACGCCCACGAGAATGGCGGGAATCCACTGGGCTACATTGCCAGTGACTGGCGTGTCCATCCCCCCCCGCTCCCCACAGGGGGCCCTGCACTTGGTGGGCTGGGGGGGTGCTGGGTCCCAGGGAGAGGTCCAGCTCTGGCTCCCTCTCCTCCCTCTAGCCGGGACGACGTTATCGGGAAGGTCTGCCTTACGAGGGACACCCTGGCCTCTCACCCAAAGGGTAAGATCTCCGAGCGGGCGTCCACGGCTGGCTCCTCGCCCAGCTTCGGTCATGCCTACTGGTCCGCCCAGGATGACCTGGCCTCCCTTCCACTCAGAGACCTTCCCTCCAGGCTCAGGTCCTGTCCTCGGGGAGAGCCCTGTCTCGCCCCCAGAAGCCTGGGCCTGGCCGTTTCTGCACGCCCGTCTCTGTGTTCAGACCTTGCCTCCTTTGGGACCGCTTATTTCCTAGGGCGAAGAGGGGCTGCCGGGAGTGGGATCCGAGGCCCCTGGCACAGAGGAGGCGGCCCCTTCACACCCCACCGCCGAGGTGTAGGGATCGCTCCTCCCAGTCGTGCCAGCCCCTTTTGGACCCCGTGGGCCCCCCGACCTGGGCCCCCACGCCTTTCCGCCTGGCATCTGAGGGGCTGGGATGGGGTCGGTCCAGGCTGGGGGACCCCTTGGAGGATTCCTGGGAAGCAGACTTTGTTTTGAGGGGTCAGTCCTGCCCTGGTCTCGCCCTGTGACCCTGGGCAGGCCTTGCCTTCTCCGGACTTCTCTAAGGATTCAGACCAGTTCTTGGATGTCCAGGTTCTGCTGCCCAAAGCTCTGTGGCCCTCTGACCGGCTTCCCTGGCACACACCTGCTCCTGTCTGTGAGGCTGGGGTGGCTCTGCTGACTCACGCAGCCTCCCGCCCCGCCAGGCCAGAGGCCTCTCCGGCCAGCAGCTCCAGCCAGACCCTCCAGGGTCCCTTGTGGCTTTTTCATCTGGTTCTCAGACCCTTTTCCCCGCAGTCCTAGGCAAGAGCCACTCCCCTCCCGCTTTAAGATGGGGAGACGAGGACAGAGAGGGCAGTCCTGGGCCGCGTCAGGGTCAGGACCACCCGAGGCAGCATGCCACGATAGGCCCCAGGCCCCCGGGTCACCGCCTTCCGTCTAATCCCAGCTCTTCCAGCTTCTGTTGTTCGGCCTCTGGGCCTTGGTTTCCCCACCTGTCCCTGGGCATGATGGCCCTGCCTCGCGGCGCTGGAGGGGATTCTGAGGGGATGATGGAGGGACCACGTGGTGCCCGGGGGGGGCTGCCAGTGGAGGGTGTGCGGGGGAAGGGCCGGACACTGTTGACCCGAGCCCCACAGGTTTCAGCGGGTGGGCCCGCCTGACGGAGGTCGACCCTGATGAGGAGGTGCAGGGGGAGATCCACCTGCGGCTGGAGGTGGTGCCGGGGACACGTGCCTGCCGGCTGCGCTGCTCCGTGCTGGAGGCCAGGTGAGATGTGGGGGATCCATGGGGACCTTGTGGGGCCTGGGGAGCAGCCAGTGGGTTCTGTGAAATTAGCGAAGCCCACCAAGGAGGCTGAGGGCCTCCTCCCATCAAAGCCTGCTCTCAGGAGAGGGTCTGGGGAGGTCTGACGTTTCCTGGGTGACCTCCATTCGGGGATACGTCCCTCGAGGAAAGGGTTGATATTCATATTGGGGGGCTTCAGGCATTGTAAAGCATCGGGGTAGGGGATGCAGAGGAGACCCTGAACTGTACTCATACAGTTGCAGTGCCCCAGTGCTAAGGCTGGATTCATCCAGGTTTCGCCCCAGCGTGAACTTGGCCTGGTGTGTGTGTGTGTGTGTGTGTGTGTGTGTGTGTGTCTAGGTCCTCCATGGCATGGGGGTGGAAACAGTGGTGATGGGGAAGCTGGGGTTCTCCTGGGAGGGACAGCGGCTCAGATGGCTCTGTGGGCCTGAGTCACCTGTGACAGGGTATTTTTAGCTGCAGGCTCCACTCCCGTCTGGGCCTGGGTGTGAGTCACACCCTCTCCGTGAGAAGTGCCTTCCTTTCTGGCTCCAAACCCACCTCCCTGGAATCCCCCCCTACCTCTGGGGCAGGAGGGCAGCCTTAAGACTGCCAGCATCTACGGAGTGAGCGTGACCTCCAAGCCAGGGGTGGGAGGTGGGATGGATGTCAGCCTGTCTGGGAGAAATCTTCCTCTCCAGCAAATGAGGGGTGTGGGTTGGATGAGACGCTCGTCCTGTGGCTTCCCCGGAGTTATTTTCTGCCCTGGGAAGATGGAAATGGATGGAAAATGGCTGGACTTGGGCTGCAGCCACGCCCCCAGGC